TAACAATGAGAACAATAGATACCCGTTTCCTGACTTACTGAACACCCTGTATATTTATATATATGTATTAGAGGGGTCCTTAAAATATAGGGGTCCATGTCATAATCATATTTTGGAATTAGTACTAAAAAATGTTTTCGAGGTTAAACTTAATTTATGTACAACTGGTCTAGATGTACCAATTTTTAAAAAATTTAAAGAAAGTTGGACTAGATGTGTTGAATTTTGATATTGGTATCAATAATGTAATTATAAAAAATGCATTTGAACACATTAAAAATAATATAATAAAATTNATAATGTAATTATAAAAAATGCATTTGAACACATTAAAAATAATATAATAAAATTTTGTTTGGAAACACTAACGATCAAACAATGTAGAAACAACTACAAATAATTTTCGAGTTGTGTTATTTTGGGTACAACACCTGGTGTAAAATTTCACTACCTTAGTGCTTTTCATCACGCTAGATGGATGTCTAAAGCAATTTATTCGCTAAAAATATAGATATTCAGAAAACAGTTAAAGCTTAAAACACAAAAAGAACATGTAACGTGACAAAAAATATCTGTTTATTTTTGTCTATTTGTATATGTACATATATTTGTGTTCTGAATTATCATGGTTGAGCCGAATGCGTACTACGACGGCATTTATCAGTTAAATAATCATGATAAGGTGTTGTGATTTGTTTGTGCGTGTGCGAGATAGTCAGCTGTGTACTACTTCGGACCGGTTCATGGATGGCATTTGTGTGAATATTCAGCCCGCTCCTTTCCTATCTTGAACGTCGTTTGCACTACTCACCACCTACATTGTCACCTTATGATATGTGATAATTCAAACTTTTCTTAATAATTTCCGGCATTGGGTAGTAAAATTTGTTGATCTCTATTCTAAAGGCTAGCAGTGTTGTCGCCAACGAAACGCCGGATCAAACGACGAAAGTTTGGTCGGAAATTATCCATTGTCGAAACTCGTTGTTGGTTAATTTTCGTCCGTAGCGGTAGTGATGTTTGTTGTGTGCGTTGCAACCAATTGTTTTTTTTATATATATTTTTACGTGAGTGTCCGCTATTTTTTTTTATAATGTAGATTTTTCATTTATTGGCGTCGGCTAAACCTGCCTTCAATTTCTTTAGCCCTTCGGGGCTGGTAACGTAAAATTTCTGCTTTCTATGTTTTGAGCCAGAATAGGTTTTTTATTAGTGCGCCGTGCCATAAGCACGTGTGGCGAAATTTTTTTAAAAATTTTTATTAGTTTTTTATTAGTTAGGTCCCTCAAAATGGCAGACGTGTTACAAGACCACCTGTCATGTTATATATATTTTGTTTGTGATTTTTTTTATATCTATAGGTTTTATATGGGATGAGGCGTGTATATAATATTAGTACAATGTGGTGACGTAGTGCATTTTATTCCGGGGTGTCCCAAAATCTTGCAAGCTAAGTTAAACTGTCTAAAACCAGTTGCTTACTTGGGACGTATATCCGTCGTGCTTAGCGGTAATGCCGTGATTAATAGCCTGTGGGTACCCGAAGACGTTCATCGTATTCTCAAATTGTAAAAGTATAGATGCAACTATTTTTTTTTATTAATATCTGTTTTTTTTTTTGTTCTCCTTTAATATGTAAACGAGATTTTTTGACCGTTCGGTTTTTTAACCAATTAAATTGCTACTAACAATCCTATTATTTCATCGAGTGCTTCAACTTTTTTCGATGTGTCCACTAAAACTAAGTTGAGTCTATGAAAGTAACAATGTACATATGGACTTGTACTTTTTGATAATTCTCGAATTTTGGCTTGCACCCCATTATTACAACCCGACATCACGGATGCACCATTGTAAGACTGTGCAATACATTTTGTTATATCTAAGTTCATATTATTTAAAAACTTATGTATAGTGTTACTCTAACTTTGAGCATTAAGGTCCTTTAATAATATAAAACCCAGGAAACGCTCTTTTATTATAGAATTAAAAACGTACCTTATACACAAACTCATTTGTTCTTCTTTACCGATATCACGTGCTTCGTCTGCAATTATGCTGAATATGTCGCTACCTTTTTTTTATTTCATTTACAATATTGCGTCCAACTACAATAGCAGCTACTTCTAGAATATCATTTTGAATTAAATTTGATGTATACTTTACATTTTTTTGAAGTAACATTAGATTCGATTCAAAGATTTTGTTTTCCAAACTTAACAGTTTAATCGACTCCAAAAAATTCCCTGCGACATTAAAATAATAAATAGGTATTAGATTAAAAATTATTAATTATTTAGTACATAACTTGAAAACAATAAATTTTGTAAAATATTATTAATATTTGAGAAGTTAATGATTATATATATTTATTTGAATAAACGCCTGGTAGGCTCAAGTACAGGTTAACATAGTTTACATAATAAGTAATATACAAAATAATTGTGATATAAATATTTAGGGGAGGTACATAAGATCAATAATGCAAATATATATGAATAAAATTAATATTATTTGGACAGATTAATAATTTAAATAATAAAGTTTTAGATTTGATAGATTATCAAAAAAGAAATCAAAGTTTGATTTATTACCTAATGTTAAAATTCTATTAAATGGATATTAAATGGTATTTATACCATAGTTAGTGCGGTGTAATTTAATATGGAAAGTAAGGCATGACCATGCATTATATTGTGGTAAGTGAAATGATACACGATCTATGAGAGGAGGGCAGGAGATGATACCGTTAATTAGTTTAAATAAGAAAGATGTGTCTAACATGTTACGACGGGCTAAAAGAGAATCAAGTTTTAGGTTAAATTGTAAACTTTGTATATAATTTAATTAATACTTTGTATATAATTAAAAATGTGTAAAATAATTATACATTCATGTCCAGTTAATGGACAGAAAATATTCACAAATTCAAAATAACATTGAGAT